ACAGCAGTCAACCAATAAGGAATCTCCACACTTAATGGCTCGCTGGTGTTACTTCACAAACCACTCCCTCTGGCAAAATGCCAGGCGCCATCTTGACTTGTTTACAGACTCTAACACTTGGGCTTAATGGTTTTAGCTTAAGAGACCTTTCAGTGTACTGTTATATGGTAAACTCTATCCCAAGGTCAGGTCCTGATTTGTGTATTCTGAGCCCCCATGTCTTACCTTCAGGCCAGGAAGTGGAGTGGGATTTTATTTGAAGGTAAAAGGGAGGACATTTAATAAAATGTGTATCACAATTTGTGGGGGGGGGGGGAATTTTCATAGATAATGTGAAGATCTGAGTCTACCTCTGTTTTCCAGAGGGCTATAGTCTCACATCCCCAGTTTCTACAATGGTAGCTGTTAGGTCCTTCACAATTGGCATTTTGTTCATCTGGACATATATAGAATTGGACTCCCCTTAGGTCTCTACGGAACCAGTGCAAACAAATGTTTTGGACCATATACTTAGTAAAATCACATATATCCAGTTTAAAAGTGGGTAATTGTTGGTTAACTATGGTTACAGACTTAATAAGAGAACCGCTCTGAGTATCCCATAATTCCCATCTGAACTGTTGCGGGGCACGAGGGTTGGAGTTGGCTTTTATCAACTGAAATAGAGAATTTGCAAAGAGAAGATCAAATTTTTTTGTAATCTTATCTTTAGCAGATCTAAGGTTTTGTGAACAGTCTGTCTTTCCAGTTGATCACTCTGGTCCTGTAAGGGAGCCTGTTTGATGTGAGTCCAATGAATCCAGGCAGATTTTCCTGCTATTTTGATGGTGGTCAGGGTGGTGAAGAGCACTGTCCACTGGCCTGTTCAGCGAGGTTCTAGCGAAGCATGCAAGTGTCTTTTTGTAGACCAAGTCCCCTGGCTATAGAGTATGTTGAGATTTTTGATCACAGGATTGAGCCACAGGAGATATGCCCTATCCAAAGACTTGTTTTATGTGATCTTGGATGGGGTACAGGGCCTGTAAAAAACTGAGAAGATGTTCGTTCATTAGCAAGTTTCTGAGCAATGTCATCACTTAACATTGGAACCAAAGGGGTGGTTGGCCAAACATCACTTCAAAGGGGGTGATTCCCTCTTTATAAGGGGTTCAGTGCACATGTAAAAGCTCAAAGGGAAGGAGATCTACCCAGTTTTCACCAGTCTCTATGATTAGTTTGTTAAAGTTTCGTTTAAGGTCCTATTCATTCTTTCTACCTGAACTTTGGGTCTATAAGCACAGAGAAGTTTCCAATTTATTTCTAGAGCCTTTGTAACCAATTTTGTGACTTTAGCAGTGAAGGACAGACCATTATCCAATCCTATAGATAAAGGTACTCCAAATCTAGAAATAATGTCATAAATGAACTTTTTAATGGTAATTTGGACTGTCTCTGACCTGGTTGGGAAAGCCTCGGTCCATCCTGAATAAGTGTTTATGAAAACAAGCAGGTACCTGTATCCATATGGTCCAGGGCTTACCTCAGTAAAGTCCATTTTCCAATGTTCTCCTGGAAAAGATCCTCGGAAGCGGGTACCATTCTGGTTATGTGGGGTTCTTTTGGAATTTACTTGGAGACAGGAGTGCATCAGGAGATCACCTGATGGACCCAGTGGGACATCTTTGGGAAATAATATCTTTCTTTTAAAACTTCCAAAAGTTTCATTTCCCCCAGGTAGGAACCTCAGTGAAGCTGCTGGATGAGAATATGTCCCAGAATTTCAGGCAAAAAGCTTTTTCCATCTGGCAGGATGGACCACCCTTGTGGATTTTGGGTGACCTTTAATAGGCTAAATTGTTCCACATCTGAATCAGAGTAACAAGGCTTGTGTGGTCGCTTTCTATCAGGTTTGACCGGAAAAAGGGTGAGTGGCACCACAGGTATTAAGGCAGCTTCCTTTGCCCTCTGATCAGCGAAATTGTTGCCTTTTACTTCAATGTTTTTGCCTTTTACTAAATGTATTTTTATATTTAGAACCTTTTAATACTTTTTAATCTGTTGATCCCTCTTTCTGTTTATACCTTGAAATAACCCTTATAAATTTCTGAATTTAGATAAATTAATCCATTTTAATAAGATGAAATACTTTGTTATTTATAGTACTCTAATTGAAATGCAGTTGAAACCTCTTGATCTCTTGTATATAGAATTATACCTGTTGGGACTTTTAACTTTTAGTAACCTTGTTTTTGTAATAACACAAAGTAATTTTAAATTCCTTTTTAATTTACCAATTTATGAACATACAAATAGTGTTTAAGTATTTTACCTTATGGAGTTTAAGGAGTTAAGAGTACTTGATATTATATTTAACAGGTAACATTTAAATTTTGTAAACCAATCAGATGTCTCTAACGAACACATCCATGATTAATTTCATACATGTCAGATCTAATTTACTTATTTAAAAAAATAATAATAGCAAGATGTCAGACAAGTGCATTGAACAGCATTAGTCATTTTTTTTCTGAAGAAAAATCCTAGAGACAGTGGATATTAGACTTTTTGTAGACATTAACATTTTATTAACAACTGCTTGACCTCTTAGAAACAAAACTGTACATTAGTAACTTTTTGTGTGTGTGTGTGTGTGTGCTGGATATTTTTAATAAAGTGAGGTTTACATCCATCACTGTCATGTTGATACAAACAAATATGGTCATATGCACAAAGGAAAACCACATGCCTGTCAGGCTCAGAGATAGGAGGTCAGAAGAGGCACGAGGAAACCCGTGTATGGCAGGCAACAAGGATCTGGAGATGTGACAGCCAGGCACAGGGCCACACCAGCTCCCTTCATTGTGTGACCCTTCGGATTGAGAGGACATGAATTACAGAGTTCTTTCATTCTGGACTTAAATTTAACCTTACAATTCTGTTCTAGCACCAATTTAATAGAGCAGGTGTAAGCATTTCTACCAACAGCACACAGGCATACGCTCTTTCCAAACACACATGCCTGGCACACAGCAGCCCATGTGTATGCTCTAAAAAGGGCACGCAGCTCTGCTAGGACTGTGCTGGGAACAGATGGGAGGTGCCCTCTGTGACCACCTCAAGGAAGACACAGCTGAGACACCAGACTCTTAAGATCAAATGGTGCCTGTAATTTCACACAAATACCCAACCTTCCCCTCCAGTGGCATTTACATATATAAATAGGCATAAATAGAACCCTCCATTATTTTCACTAAGTCTAAAAAGATACAGTTTCAGAGCAGGTCTAATGAAGAGGGTTCTAATTGCATGTAGTTCTCATTTTAAGCATCCTCTGTTGTAACACAGAACATGACATAAGGTCCTGCGAACAACCAAAGTAGAAAACAGAACACTTACGCTGCTGCATCAGAGTGTGGGAAATGACCATTTAAACCTTCAAACAATGAAATACAAAACTGCAATTATTCAGGTTATACAAGTTTCTAATGTAGCAGCAAATGATGTTTATACAAAAAATAGACTTTTAAGAAAATAGCTGCAAAAATCTAAGAGTATAAAACATTTTAAAAAATATATCTTAAAAGACAAAATATTGCCCCAAACGTATAAGACTGAGTTTTAAAAGTTCACCTATCTAGATTTTAATGAGGTTGGTTGAATGCAGTCTGTGGCTCGACATCTCCGCAGGAGGTGCAGCAAGCACAGGGAGGGCCTGGGGCTGTAGGATGCCACCTAGCCCAGGGCTGAGGAGCCTTCAGAAAGCTCCAGCTCCCAGCCCCGGCCTCTGCTGCCAGAGCCGGAGCCATTGAGTCTGTCCCAGGACACTCTCAGAATCAACAGACTGCCCCACAGGGCCAGGACGCAGGCTGCAGTGGTGAGAACTCTGCACAGGACTGGTGCCCTGCGTTTCTACATGGGCCACAGTATATCAGGTAAGCTCTCTGGGGCATGTGGCCTTCTCCGTGGCCCACCGGGGGCCTCAGGTTTCCACTAGGATCTCCACCACATGGTCCAGTTCGGCCAGGTCGGACTTGCAGCTGGAGCCGGGAGGTGAGGCTGCCGAGGCAAAGCCCTCGAGCCCATCACAGAGGCCTGGCTTAGTGCCACCCATCATTCCTGTCAGCACAGTGTCCAGGTCATAGTAGGAATTGTCCACATCTGAGAACAACTCCTCCACAGCGCTGGGACTTTTGTTCTCCAGGGTCTCAAATATCTGATCTAGAGACTTCTGAAAGCTTCCTCTGTTTTCTCGAGGGTTGCCTGTATCCCAAAGGCTACTCTGAGTGTTCCTTGGCACCTGTGCTGAGCTGACTGTGGAAAGTTCAGAAACTGGACCTTGCAAGGGGTCATCTCCCAGGTCAGGAGCAGGGCACCCTGCCTCTGGCCCTCTTGCTGTGCGACACAGGATCTCCGTGGACACAAGGCGGTCAAGCGGCACCCGTTCTGCACTCTGGGGTGCTGCCCCTCGCCACGCACCATCCCGGCTCATCTCCTCCTGGATCTGTCGGACTGTGTTGGCAATGAGGACTGAGCGGCAGAGGTTGGGCTCTACCAGCATGTGGCAGAGTTGGAGCTTGACCAGGGACATGTCCAGGAGCGACTGTCGCTGTAGGCTATAGGCAGGAACAGTGCCAAAGCCAGCCAAGGCACCCTCCCCGTCTTCCTCCTGGTCAACACATTTCCTCTTCAGTCCTCGTGCAAACATTGTGCCCTGCGCCGCCAGGCCCGCCGCCGCTCAGCTCGGAGCCCGGTAGCCGCTCAGCGCCCACAAAGGGTCGCCATGGCGCTGCTGCGCGGCCTACATTAGTAACTTTAAAGGCATTTTTACTTTTATTTATTTATCCAATTTTTAAACTGAACTTTTTAAATCAAATGACCCAAAAGTATTTGGATTTTTTTAAATTTTCATTGATGACCTCATATGTCAATTTTTGGTACCAAATATATGTAGACATAGCAATACATGTAGACAGATAGTACACCAGTGCACCTACACAAAACAAACAGACAAACAAAAGCCTTGTAGGTTTTTTTAAAAAAACCTATTAGATTGAGAGTTAACCCTTGTAAATTGGCCTTAGAACAAGCAGAGTATAATCAGAAAAACATATTAACCTACTTATGTCAGATCAAAATTGTGAATTTAACAATTACCGAATTTTAAAAGCCTTCCTGGCCTTCTTCCTGAGGTGGTCCTGTTCATCAAAGCTAAAAAGAGTTAAGGGAACATAGATAAATGACTGGGCCTTATTCCTCCCTGAAGGAACTTTCCAAAGAGGCAGCTCCATTGGTCTCCCTGGGAGAGTCCCCCCAGGACTCTAAACTGGTTTTTCTGGTTTTTTGGATAGTGTCCACTAAATTTTAGCCTGACATTGAAAAATCTTTGGACCAATGTTAATAGTTAGGAGTTATTCATGCTTGCAAATACTGAGAGATAAAAGCCAAATTTCCTAGACAAAATTGTGCTTTTTGTTATACAATTTAAAAATAATAATTTTATAAAATACTTTAGTCCTAATCTGCCTTCTATAGGAACTGACATGGACTACCCCCTTGGCCATCTGGCCCAGTTCCTAAATAAAGGCAATCTCTAGAATGCCTCTTTTACCTTTAGCTTTTACTTTTGACATTTTTTTTTTTAGTCCTGTTGGAGCCATTTACATTTTAATGCAAGCTTTAGTGAGCACCGTTAAAACCTTTTTAACTGTTTTTTAATATTAGAAACAAACTGACATAGAAATTAACACAAAACACAAAGAGGACAAATAATAACAAACAACAATCAAGACAAGACAAAAACATAAGACAGACAATAAAACACACAACAGGTAAGGCACCAAAGACAAATTCAACTGACATAAAACCAGACTCAGACCAGAGGCCTGAGTAAAAACAAGAATCAGATCAGAGGACTGAGTAAAAACCAGATCAGAGGACTAAGCAATGTCTTGCTAGACATGGATCCGGGGACATAATGCTGTGTCCAGGTTTCCCTCGAGCCTCTTCAGACACAGATCTGCACAGATCAGACTTACCTTTTCCGGGGAAACACAGATGACTCTTGGTAGTTTTAGGTGGGTGGGAATTGATAGAGGGATGGCCCAGGACTTAGAAATGTCTCTCAGAGACCTTCTCCAAGGCGATCTCTCCACCACTGCACCTCCCTGGATGGTCCTGAGCAATCTCTGAGATGAGAGAAAGGTAGATCCCACTGGGGGCCTCCAAATGTCATGGGCCAGGTCACTCAGAAAACACATCAAGTCCCAGTTTTGTCTAAATTGAAGAGTCTTTATTCAGCTGGCCAGTTGGCTGTCTCTGCAAGGAACAGCCCCAAGCCTGAGCATTTTAGGATACTTAAAGACAAAAACTACATCTGGATTGATGTAGCTATAAGCAAGCAGATACAGATTGGATTGGATACAGATACAGCTGGATACAGATACAGCTGGATTGGGCAGTTAGAACAATGCAATGGGTACATTGGTACTTCCCATGAGAAACTGATGTGACTCCATTTTTGAGAAACCAGCTTCTACCTCAAAGCCTGTTCTAAGGAAGGGGTCGTGACCCTTGTCCTGGGAAAAACCCACAGAGCACTCCTAAGCACATACCCACCCTGCTGAGTTGTTTGTCTACAAATAACAGGAAAGTTGAACAACCAATAAAAATTTTAAAAATTTAAAAAAACACAAATAACAGGAAAGATCTGTGGCACCAGGTGTCCCTGACTCAGTTAGGCTAGATGAGGACCCATAGCATCCCCGTAGCAACCACCAATCAGCATGAGACAGGGAAAATATCTGGGATGCCAGATGACCCCTCAGTAGTTTATGGTGGTTGATAACATGTTGGGAAACCATGTAGCTTAGCACTACACCCCTCATGGCTTAAACCAATCAGTTCAAAGGAATCCTCCTCTTGTACTAACCAATCACCCCTACCCAACTTGTTCCCGCCAGTGAATGTGCTAATCAATGTTAAGAGTTGTTGCTTGATTTTCCCAAGGTAGGGAATTATTTGCTGTGTGATATTGTGACACATAGAGTATTCCCCCAAAACCTATAAAATCTCACTGAACAAAGGACCGGGACTCACTCCCTGGGACCGCTGCATCAGAAATGGTTGTGAGTCCAGGCTCGAGCTTGCAATAAAGACTCTTGGGTGATTGCATTGGATTCAGCTCCTGGAAGTCTACTGGGTTCCAATGAATCTGGCATTACACCCACAAGACTTTCCAGATTGGCAAAGCAGCAAGCAAGCAGAAGGGAAGTGGGTCAAAATGACCCTAGTTGAGTACAAGTTAGTGAATGGTTACCAACATCTAGACAATTAATCTCTGACAAGGTACATTGCCCAAGAAAAATGGAAAGCAAAGAGAATAATTTTACATTGTATAAGAATTACTATTTTGTGTTGCCAAGTATGTTATGCAGGTAACTATTAATGGGTACAGAGGTGGGGCTCTCCCACGGGAGAAGCGTTTCTTACATGATATGGAGTCTCAGGGTAAAATGGAGTCTGTTTGGTCATTACCCATATAGCCTGGCCCATAACATAAGTGATATGACTTTTCTTTTTTTTTTTTTTTTTTAATTTTTTTTAATACTTATTTTTTAGTTTTCGGTGGACACAACGTCTTCGTTTGTATGTGGTGCTGAGGATTGAACCTGGGCCGCAGGCATGCCAGGCGAGCGTGCTACCGCTTGAGCCACATCCCTAGCCCCGAAACGACTTTTCTTAAACAACAACAACAACAACAAAAAAAAAAGCTATCATCACACATCTAATTCCAGAGACTTAGGAAATGGAGGAAGGAGGATCACAAGGTCAAGATCAACCTAGGAAAGAAATATAAAATCTGAATGATCTGATATCAATTATTTAAGTAGAATCTATAAAATACATTTCTAGAAAGAAAACTCCAGGCACAGGTGGTTTCACCAATTAATTCTGCCAAACATGTAAGAAAAAAATAACTCAACCTTAAACAAACTCATTTATAAAGCCTACCTAAATTGATAACAAACCCCAACAAGGAAATTAAAACAAAATTAAAGTTACAGGCCATAAGTATTAATGAATATAATGAGAAAAATGTTAAAATATTAACAAACAGAATTCAGTAATATATATACATTTTTTAAGATGATGTAATTTGAACAAGTCAGTTATTCTAATAACATTCAAAAATCAAGGTAATTTACCACATTAACAGAAGAAAAGAAGGGAAATCATATAAGTATTAAAGTATTTTATTATCTATTAACAGTGAAAAAACTCTAGTAGTACATATACACAATGGAATATTACTCAGCGAATAAAGAAGAATGCAATTATGGCATTTGCAGGTAAATGAATGAAACTGAAGACTATCATGTTAAGTGAAATAAGCCAATCCCCAAAAACCAAAGGCCAAATGTTCTTTCTGATATACAGATGCTGACTCACAATAGGGTGGTTTCCACCAGATTGGAGGTCGGGAGTGGGGGGAATGGAGGAGGGATGGGTATGGAAAACAGAGTAGAATAAATCTGATATAATTTTCCTAAGTACATATATGAGTACATGACCAGTGTAACTCCACATCATGTACAACCACAAAAATGGAAAGTTATAGTCCATGTACGTATGTACGTCAAAATACATTTCTACTGTCATGTATAAGTAAAAAGAATAAATAAAAGAAGAAAATTTATTAAAACAGATGAATATTTAAAATATCAGGAATAACTTTAATTATTTGGCACAATTGACTTTGAACCACTTTTGTCTTCTGCCTGTGTGTTAAGGTTTGGATGTGAGGTGTCCCATAAAAGCTCACATGTGAGACAATGGGAGAGGGTTTAGAGGGGAAATGATTAGGTCCTAAAAGCTTTAATCCAATCAGTGAATTTATCACCTGGTGAGATTAGTTGAGTGGTAGTTGAAAGCAGGTAGTAGAGTGTGGCTGGAGGAAGTGAGGCATTGGGGGCATGCCTTTGGCAAGTGAACTCTCTCTCTCTCTCTCTCTCTCTCTCTCTCTCTCTCTCTCTCTCTCTTCCCCCCCACACCCTCTCCCTCCCTCTCTCTATCTGCCCAACCCCTCTGCCATGATGTTCTGCCTCACCTCAAGCCCCAGGAATGGGGCCTGCTGTTTATCAATTGAGACCTCTGAAACTGGGAGCCCCCAATAAACCTTTCCTCTTCTACAGTTGTTCTCGTTGGGTCCTTTTATCACAGCCCCGCAAACGCTGACTAAAACACTGTGTCTGGAAAGAATTCAACAATTTATGCTGTTGATCTCTCCTTTGGTCAGTAGACAACTTACAAGTATTTGTAAATTGGATTTATCTTAATTTAACCTATATATTTAGAAGAATATGGATGTATGGGCTGTCCCATTCAGACTGAATGCTAAATTAGAAAGAAACGGCCAATACTTTTGTTAAGTATTAGACAGAGGTTCTAAAAGACTGAATTCTATTTCAAGACTGATCCCAGTTAAACTGTAATTCCAACTATCATGTAGTTCTCAGGCAATGAGCGAAGCTTTTAAACTAACAAATAAATTATGATAAAAAATGTTTTAAAAAGAAATGAAAAAACTTGAAGGCACTGAAAGGAGCAATGGCCACAGCCTTGCAGGGCAGCTTTTGTTTCTTTTCTACAGGCATGGTTACAAACCATGGCAACCAGCATCATGTGGTTACCAGCTGCCCTTCATTCACCTATTGATACCTCCCCCCCAAAAAAAAAAAAATTAAAAAAAAAAAAAACACAAAGCTCCTCTGTTATTCCACCAACAACCACTGGAGGACCCAAAAATCACTATG